TCCTCAACAAAAACGTATCTATCGTTTAAGTCGTAGTCTGTCGAAAACAGCTGATATGAATATATTTGGATTATTCTAGAAATTACTCTACACTCAGAAAACAAAAGTAGTAAGATTAAAATTTTGAAATTATCAAATAAATATTATTTATTTCAGAGAAATGAAAATAAACGAAATTGTTTAATAAAGTGACGTAATTATAAAAATTGCAAAATCTGATCGTAACAGTATGTATGGTTAAATCTAGTATGAATATTTACATTAGACTCAGTTTTATTCAACAAACTATCAACAATATTGGTCTTTTCAACCGACATTGGTTTTTTGAGTTTATTGTTTTGATTTACTCTCTATACTTGTTTTTCAATGTTGTTTGCTATTAATTTTTTATTCTGTTTTCAATTGAATTTTCTGTTTATTTAATATATAATTTTGTCAAAATTATTTAAAACGTCTCTGTTCTTCATCGGTTAGCTGTATCACACAAACCAATTACCAATTTATAATATCTGTTTTAGCAGGTTGTTGTTGGCTCTGGCATGCTTTATTCATGCCTAGTATATCTTTTACAGCACTAGTACTATTATTTTCCCTATTATTTACATCTGTACATTCTGAATTCTGGAAAAATAATGACATGCAAGCATGTATATGCTTGCAAATGTTGAGTTTAATGAGATTATCAATGCAAGAGCATTTAAATGTATGCAAACATATGTTACACTCATGACATTTACACATGACTCAAAGCAATTATTACTAACTTAACTACAAAATATTGCCTGGACGTATCTGCTGAAGAGGTAATTATAATTCATGTTCAGGGCGCTTAATCTTGTCTAGTCCAATCTTTTGTCCTAATGTATGACTTTCCCTAATTCTTTTAATTGCCAATTTGATTATTCTCTTGAATAAGCTATCTCGTGCTATTTTCACAACTGCATCAATACTTTTATCTAATCGTCTTAACTTTTTTTACATCTAAATAAATATGTTTTAGAATTTTATGTAGCGGTTCTAAGTACATATTTGTGTTAATTCCTAAACCTGATCTGTAACAATACGCCCAACATTGTGGACGATTGACATAATGATCATTAAAATATTGACCAAATAAAAACGTATCTTGATCTGCATCAAGATCAGCCAAAACTATAGTCAACCACTTATTGAAATCATCAATCGAAGTACACTGCAATAGAACTCTTAAATATTTGTATACTAGCGCTTTTATTTTGGCCCTCCACTTATTTTTGCTAAATTTTGTCTCCATTTTTATCAACATGCCAAGTACATAGCGATCTACTAGGAATTGGCAAAATTACACGAGACCAGGCATTGTAAAATGCAGGTGTATCATCTGACATAAATACATTTGCCTGAATAACTCCCACTTTTAACTTTAAAAATTGTTTCATCTGCCCTGTTGGAAAAACAGAATGCAACTGAAGATGCCGAACTAAATTCATCAGCGGTTAGTAATGTATAGAGTTGAAAATCATAATTGTTTGTTCCATGGGTGCCATCTATACATATTTTATTGTTACCAAATTGAACTAACTGTTGAGCTTGAAAAGATGTCATTATTATTAATGCAAAACATTGATATCAAGGATACCTATATTACTTTTAATACCTTGTTCCTTAAATCAATACCGGACACTCATTTCCTAACCTTTTCATATCTTCTACCTACAATTTAATACTGACTGCATCAGTATCATGACGTTTAGTACTGTAACCAATGCGAAAATCTCGTGTAATATTGTGCATATCTTTCTTTTTTAGAAGTAAAATTCGTTGTGAGTTTTCTTTATTTAAACCAGTATCACGAATACCATCCAATATGTGTTCAAAAGTTACTCCCTCTTTTAATTTACCTGAAATTTAAAACTTATTGTATTTTTTATTTTCATTATAAAATGTGAATAAACACCTGCAATTTTAGTTCTTGTTTCCTTGCTTACAACAACCCGACCAATATCAATAGAATGCCCCACACGGGTCTTCCAAAGCTTTACCAAAACAGAACTATCACTGCTTTTTGTCAAAACGTACATCCTTGATGGACAAGCTTTCCCAATTTGGTTTGTCCCTTTGCTTTTTGAAGCTCTTAAATCCTTTGAAATGTAATTATCTGAGCGATGGCAGTTATAATATTCTTTTTTACTGCCATCAGCGAATAATTTATGTGAGTACCGAAGAACATAAAATGATAGACTACGTTGCTGGATTTGATCTTTCCATTAGTAAAATGGTGGAAAATACTATAGGTATAAGCTACCGATATATAAAATCTGGAATATATTAATACCGTACCTGAAATCGATTTAAAATTAAACTCGCTACACTCAAGTTCAACATTATGTATAGTGGTCAGATGTTTTCTTAAATATTCGTAATTTTTGAAATATTCAGAAGAGATTATTGTAAAATTTCGAGTTTCATTTGAATTCGCATTGTGGATTTTTTTTGAGATGGCGCGAAAAGTTAGATTTATTTACAAATTTTTCACACACTTTTACCTAACTATTTTAGCTGCAATTGGATTTTTATAATGTATCCTTCTTAAATGAGCATATATATTTTTTTCTGAGAAAATCTATTATGACACTCCTCGCAAGTTGTATGATCCATAATTTAATTATTTAAATCTATATAAAACAAAATATCAATTCCATTAATTCTCTGCCACTACCAAATGAAAATAAAAGAAATGTAAAAAAATATAAATATCAATTTTCTTGATATTTGTCATTTACAGCTGCCCTCAGCCAATATCGGATGTGGCGCGAGACACTCGTTCAATTACTGTCAACTCGTTCTCGAGCTGTCAAAATTCTCAAAACAACCTAACAAAATTAATTAAAACAAACATTCAATGAAAAAGTAATAAGGTAGCGCCGAGGGATATGACGCACGTTTTAAAATTTATCAATTTCTCAGTTATTACTGACTAGTTTTTCCTGCTTATTGAATTTTTATTTACCTGCAACCTTAATGTATCACAAGTAGGAAGTGTAGGTGATTGTGGCAATTTACATATAAATGTTTAAAAAATAAATAAATAAATAACAATTTTTTAAAAAAAGTGTAATAATCCGATCAAAAGGTAAAAAACAACAAACAATTAAACTACTGTAATGGTTTTAGGAAATTTTACATGAAATGTGAAGTGGCCACGACGTACTGTTGGAGGTGGCAGTATTTTTTTGATACTTTCCATTTCAATTATTGATTCATCTTGTGCTTGAGGGAAAATAAACTGTAATTTTCCCCTCTTCATAAAATTAATAGTGACGTCTTGACCTTCGCATTTCATAACAATACCAACATAGTACAGAGGCTTCAGCTTTCCAGCAAACTCTACGAGAACGTAATTGTCTACATCAACGCTTCCAACCGTTTCGAAAAATTCACTTTCGTCGATTTCACTTTCATCGTGAGATGACGAAGGTAATTCATCTTCGAAAGCAATTCGTTTCTTGAAAGGCTTGAAAGGAAATGCACGTCGTTTTCTAGCGCTTTTTCTAGGATTTCAAGCGAATTGGTGTGCGATCCATATCCATCAAGTAAGAGTAAACACGGACCCGCTGATTTTCTAGGAATGAAGTGATTTTCTAGCCAATTTAAGAATAGTTCTTCGTTCATGTACGCTGATTTCCCTCCCATTACCACCTCTGCGCCATTAGGCAGGTTATCTAGCCACGCTTGTTGTTTGTTCACGCCGTTGAATATAATGTAGGGAGGTAGAAAAGTCCCTTTGGCATTGCAACAAGCTACTACTGTTATGGTTTCCCCTTGCTCTGCTGATTGTCGAGCTTGAACAGATTTGCTTCCTTTCGCAGCTATAACGTGTTGTGGAGGGTTGTTTAGTTGGAGACCCAATTCGTCTACATTGTATATATTAGCAAGTTTATTGAATAAGCTGTGTTCTGCGAGGGTACTTTCTAAAAGGGCAAAATAAGTTGCGACCTCCTGTTTGTTCATTCCGTCTGCTCGGGCCTTGGACACCCCTTGGGCTTTCCTTATCGAAAGAGTAGGGTTCCGATTAAGAAAAGCTTCAAACCATCCCTTGCCTGCAGTGCGATTTTTTTGACAGAAATGTGTGGATGCGAGTATGCCCATTCTCTCTGCCAAATTATACGCCATCTTGCGCAAAGCAATTTTTGTTGGGGCATATCCATCCTTTTGCAGTCTCTTCACGTGTATAACGATTTTTTTCTCTGCATCCCAGCCAAGGACTGGCGGGTGTCCTAGCTTTCCCTTGACGAGATTATTTGATTTTAAACGATGGCGTAGAGTTTTTTCAGGTATTTGATTCGCTTTTGCTGCTCCTCTAATTGATGCAACGGCTTGGGCAGCAGTAAGAAGATTTTCCTCCGACCAGGTCCCTCTCAACCCCTTCGCTTTGTAGCTCGGCATTTCTGAAAAAGTTTTAAAAAATAGACATATACGAGTACCTACTTATATTGGTACGTTCCAGGAAATATGGGACAGGGATATGACGCGCGTCACAATGTGCGTCATCCACCATTTTGTTTATAAAATAATTAAATAACAAAGACCAATTAAAAATCTAGAAGGAAATATAATACAGAGCTTTCAAAATAATGCAATAAAACTTTTACGTTTGCTCACCTGATTTAGACGAAGAAAAGGCGTGCTCTCTTGGCATCATGTTTCATGGTACCTGTCCTGCGGACGTACCGAAACATTATTTAATTGATATTACTGAGCAAATGGGCATATTTAATCACAAGTAAGCGAAGTAAATTAGTGTATATATGGTTGAATTCTTTGGACAATAATAAAGTTTTATGGGGAATTATAGGTGGTGATATAAGTGCTTTATAGATAAATATTCTACAAATGCATGTTTTGGTCTTTCATGGGTAGTATATGTTTTAGAATCTTTTAGTTTTATATTTTAGGCAAATGTGCCAGTAAGTAAACCTTAAATTTGTATAAATAAAAAACAATATTTAAAATATTTTATAAAAATTTATTCACTTTTATCAAATAAAATTTGTAATATTTGTTTTCTTTTTTTTTTGCTTACTCTTCACTCATTTTGTGGAGTTCTTCGTAAACGTATGCCACAAATGTGCTGTTTACATTTTGCTCTTTTTGCTCAATCGTTCCATTATGTAATTGGCAACCCCAACAATTGGTCCAACCTCCCCGACAATATCTTGGGCCCTTTTTTTCTTTTTGTCATTTCCTGAAAAACCAACATATTTACATAAGAGAAAATATTTAATAATAGGAAGAGGTATTTTAATTTAGAATAAAAGAATGCAAAGAATTCTTACCAAAGGCTGAAAGAGGGGTCCCACCAACAGCTGGGGTGTTTGGTGTATTCGAGGCTCCTGGGGCTTCTTTTGTGGTAATTGCTCTTCTAGGAGCTTCAGCTGGGGTATTTGCCCTATTCGAGAGTCCTGGGGTTTCCCCATCTTCTACCACCTCAGTTGGGGACATAATTTGACCATATGAACTCCAGACTGATAAAGAGGAGGAAGGCCTACTTTCCCCCAACAACTGGCTCGATGGTCTCATGCCTTCTTTTTTTGTTGTAGTGTAAGTTCTAATAAAAAGCCATGAATCAATAACAATTAAACTTTATAGCACACTTTAATGGGTTATTTAAGAAATCCAGACTTAGGTACTTGCGTGGTTTCGAATATTTTTGATAAAACATCATTTTCTCAAAATATGGCCAGACTATTTCTGGAGCCTCAGCTCCTGAACTTGATTTTTTCTTCTCTTTAAGGAACCTGTCTCTCAAGTTCCTCCATACTTTGATGCAGTCCTCCACTAAAACCATGAAATTTTTTATTACAAAGTTCAAACAATGAAAAAATTACCTACCACTACAATTAACAACCTCCGATATTTGTTGCCAAGCCAGTTGCTTTTTTTTATTGTTTTTGTAATCTTTGTTGCCTAGATCAAAAATATAAGGGAATCCTTGAATTGCCTCAATAAGGAGGCCGTGGTCCATTTCTTCATATGATGGAGCTGCAGATTGGTGTTCAAGCTCAGAGTTTTCTGAAATTATAAAAAAAAATATTTTAGAAATAGAAAACAAGAGGTTTTGTCTATTACATTATTTTATGTACTTATATCAAATAAATAAAAATTTTTTACCCACTGATAGCTGAGACTCCTTATCTTCCAATTCATAACTGCTCAATTCGAAATCCATATTATTTTCAGTTTATAGTTTATAAGTTAATAACTACACTTAAAAAACTAACTAACAAAAACTAATAGTTTAAGAAAGGAAACATAATTATAAATAATACTCAGCAAACAGGCAAACACAAACGACAAACGAATACAACGACACACGAATAACGAATTGCTGCACAAAATGGCTGTTTGTTTACTGTTTTGGTGTTGTTTTGACACCATTTCCACTTACCTTGGACATGCGCATAAAAATTCGATCCCCTGTGTGGTAGTCGTGGTACCCTATATGATGGAAGCTAAATAATAATAAAGAAAGAACCGCTCCAATGTCATGCGTCAAAATCACGTGACAAGCTGAAAGTGATTTGATTGGCTCTTTGCTAAGGCTACGAACGGCCGCCGGCGAAAGATAAAATTCGTTTATGTTGAACGTCACCAAAGCAGACCCATCGGCAGACGGCACCGTCAACGGCAACTATGAATGGTCTGTAACGGCCAACAGCATCGGCAAAAGCAAACGTCAAGTTTAAGAATCGACCTTTACAATTCTCACTTTACTGTATCCTCCAGAAGCCTGCGTAGCTGCCTCATGCTCTAAAGCAGCGGACAAGATATCAATCAATGTTTGGTGGCAGGCTAAGCGAAGTGTTTTCTGCATCTCGTGGTCACGGAGTCCATCAACAAATGTTTGGACTGTTAAACATTCCATCATGTTTTCCGGAGCTGATGGGTAAGCAAATCGCACCAACTTGGCAATATCTAATTCATATTCTTGAAGAGTCTCGTCTCGTTTCTGTTTGCCATTCTTTAACTGTGACTGGTGTAATTGCAAGTGTTCGTGGCCATATCGCATGTTCACAGGTATAGTCTGAAGAACATCTAAAGCGTCTCCTCGAAGGGCGATTGTCAGATTTACGGCCTTTTCTCTCTCAGACCATTCGTTTGCCCTCGCAACTGTCTCAAACTGTTTAAGGTAGTTGGTCCATGACATCTTTCCGTCGAAGGTTGGGGCTTTAACACGAGCAGAGTTTACAGCTCCTTCCAATTTTAACTTCGACTCCACCTCATAGCACTTTATTTCACCGTCCTTGACCGGTCCTGAATGTTCCAGTTCTTCTATCTTCTATTATTTTCTCTTCAACGGAAGACATTATTTTCTGCTCAACAAAAGTCATCTTATTTTCCACATCAGCAGAAATTTTGTTTTCCAAGTCTGAAGAAATTTCATATTTTAAAGAAGAGGTATTAGAAGAAACTTTAGTTTCTAAAGAAGAGATTTCGTTTTTCACGAAAGTCATATCAGAAGACACCTTTTCTTCTAAATAAGAAATATCGAACGAAACTTTACTTTCTAAGGAAGTAATGTCAGAAGAAATTTTAGTTTCCATGGAAGAAAATTTACTATCTAATGAAGAAATATCGTTTTTCATATCGGAAATTGAAGAAATTATAGAAGACGCATCATCCGAAAATAGAAACGTTTCCGGATCCAAACCTTCATTTTCTACTGCTTTCGGCCAGCTCTGATTTCTTCCCTGTTGTCTCTAGTTTACGTTCTTCTAACTCCCGACGTAGCGCGGTCACTTTTAAATCACAGTCTTTTAGCCATTATTGTCCACTATTTATTTATAGTTCCACTTCTAACAACAATGTGACGATAGTCTAATTTATTTATAGTTTATTTTAAACACTATTTACAATTTATTTATGACGTACTAATTAATTTATATAATACTTAGGCACTAACTCACAATTCTAATTTATTTATTACAATTTAATTTTTCTTTACTAAACTAAACTGATAGCCGATAAGTCGGATATTTATACAAAGTCCAACTCTGCTACGAAAAGTCTCTAGACGCTCCCGAAAATTTCATCTCTGATTCAACGGCACGCGTCACCCGTTCTGGCCGTTTCTCGAGCGTCAGCGGCATTCCTAAAAGATTACGTCGTTTAGAGCATGAGTCGGGTGGCAGACTTCCAACGTCGCGCTTACACAGGGTTCGGGCCGCATCACAATATCATTTATAGAAGCTTAGAATTGGAACAAACTGAAGATGAAAAAGTTGTTAAACATCGAATATTTACTTTTTTTTAATAAAGGACCATCTTGTTCTTGTCTGTCCTCTTTCTCATCACTTGAAATATGTGAATGTCTTCTCAGTAAATATTTTTTTTAATTTCTAGTAAAAACTTTTTATTTCAACTTGACATAACTTACTGTTGTATATTTACTTTCGGGACTGGTACTATAACACCTTTGCTAGAACGATCACTTTATTATAATATTATAAAATATAAATTTTATTGTATTAAACTATAACGACGCCAAATCTGGCGTTGCTCACATGTCTGAATAACCTCTCATATCAATGGAGTAGGCAGTCGTTATTCGGGGTACCCCAATTAATTCGGGCAACTGCGGTGGGCGGAATTAGCATCTATGGTGGGGAGGAGCGGACTGAAGACAGGCCGACGGAGAAATTACCGGCGACTGGATGCGCAGGTACATAATCGCGACAACGTCCCGAGGCCTTGATGCAGCCCTCCTGTCGGTGCTCGGTGCCTCTACATGGCCAACAGCTATCGGGGCGCACGACAAGGTATGTTGGGACATGTGGACGTGTAGCGGAAACTAGTTCATATTCAGGCGTGGGCGAATTCCGACTGGAGACAGCGGTTGTTCCTTCCTTCCTCATCTCCGGAACTGGCATTGTCTTCCGTCAGAACAGAATATTTCGTGGAGCTCCGGTGCTATCTTGGTACTCCGTAATATGCTCCCCTTCCTCCAGCACGATGGCCGGACGGCTCGGGACACTCGTGCTGAAAACAACACCATCGGTTAGCTCTTCGGTCGATACCCGTGGCTTACTAGAAGTGGCGGGAAAACCCACGTCTTTAACAGTAGGATACTGGGCCAGGGCGGCGGCCCTGAAAGAAAACGCGGTGCCTGGAATCATAAGGATCCTCCACGGGATTGAGAAAGAAATGATTGCATAGACCCAAGGCTTGGTCAGGTATTAATTACGGGACGGTGGGGGAAGATATATTCGGGTCCACCCAGACTCATGACGAATTATTAGTCGGTAACATACGCGCGGGTTATGCGAGTGTGGTCGGAGCCTTTGGGCTCGTCAGAGCAACGTGGGGGAGATGGGTCGATGAGCGGCAGCCACCACCAATTCGCGCCGTAGTGAGTCAATAAAGAAACTGGGGACGATGCGGGACTTCAAACAGGCATAAATCGGACGAGGGTTCATAATCCTGAAGGACGACTCCGGCGTCGGACCACAGATGGTCGATAACGGACTCCGCCAAGGGGCATTGATCGGGCAGTAGTATCTTGGAAAGGGGAATTGATACGGGCACAGATGAACTGGGGAAATGGGTTAGGGGAAACACTGGCTCACCTGATGGCAGGACTATGTCCTGCAAAACAATAGTTTTGGGCGGTTCGAAATGAGCGGTAAACGATGGGGCCCTGTCCCAGGTAAGGGTATGCAGGTCGAGCGGAAGAGACGATGAAGATAGGTGACGGTATTATGGATCCCTCGGGTCGGGTCCTAAGCGCCTCAACGAGACGAGCTCGAAACAATTATTCACTCGCCTCTTCTTGGGTACTTTGATGACTATCAACCTGTCGTCTACCTGGATTTGACAGGAATTCATAACTGTAACAGAAACAACTAAGCTGACTCAACAGACAGATTTTATGTGCAGCTGATTGAGCCTTTTCCTGACGCATTTTTGAGGTTGTTCCTATTCTCTGGAAAAATATTTCGGGATTTTCCTCTTCAATCAGTTCGGTTTCGGCAGATTGGTTGCCAGTTCCTTCTCGTAGGGATTTGGGGACGACTAACTCCCTTCAAAAATTTAAAAATGCTGGGTAAAAACCAATTGACTCATGACGGGATGTATATCGCATCCCTAAAACACAATCCTTTAGATCTATCTGAAATATTAGTTACTGTAAGAGTCAGCAACGAAAACACAACAACAAGTCTTCTAGGATCTGCAGGTTCGTTAAAAAAAGGAATGAGTGAATTTAGTCTTTAATTGAAATTTTGTTATTTATTTTAGTTATTTCAAAAATCTCAACATATTCACCATTTCGCAATAAACACAAATTATTTGGTGACCTATTGGTAATAAAAACCTTTCAAGTTAAATTCATTAAGATTTACTGTCTATCTTTATTTTTAATATTAACATAAATATATTTCTTGAATCTGATTTTTTCCTCCTCAGGTCTTTTTACAAGTTGTAAGCGTTTACCAGAATCAAGACATATTTGTTGTTTTATATGTTGCATAAAAGATTTTGCTGGGAAAGCACTAAAATGGTCAAGTCAACCGAACTTCTGTGCATCATTACATAACTGAGATAAATTGTGAGTCACACTACATTTGAGTGTGACCTTTGGTTAAATAAACATTTTTGTTCAATTGTGACTTCTTTATATTTCTGCCTTATAATCAGTAGAACATTGGACAGAACGGTATTTCTGTTTTGATAGTTACACCTGTCAGACCAAAGTATAATGGGTAATCTTTTTTGTTCCAGAATTTTTGATAATGTATCATTACTACATGAATGAGGAGGAAAAGTCGGAAGCTGTTTTGTCAAGCCAATAGCACGAAACATCATGATTGGTTATACATAGTCAAATTATGCACATTTAGCTTTTTCCTGTAATAAAAAGCACTGGCTTTTGTGAGAGGAGCCAATTTGACTGTAAATCTTGAGTCAACTCATGAACTTCTCCTTGTTTTGCTTTCTCCTTGTCGTCCGTTTTCTCTTTTCTTGCTCTTTCTCTTCAGTATGCTATAAGTATTGATCTTCAGGCACATTTCCGACCTTGTTATAAAATATTCGATTAACCCTGTGTAATTTTGTACTTGGTGATGTTAAAATTCTAATGAAGTAAGATAGCAGCAAAAAAGCAAAACGTGATGGTATATATTGTCAGAAAAAAACATTACATAAAATGATCATGCCTGCATAAAGTAAAATTTTACGACATTGTCTAGTTGCTCCCGTGTGGTGATCTTCATTATACTTATTTTTAAATGACTCATCTGTCCTTAAAGTACTATTTTGTTCCAAAACGGCTTTCTTGAATGCATTTTCCACACCCATAATACCCATTATGACTTTTAGCATAAGTTATATATACTTTAGCTGGAGCATAAGAAATTAACGCATTAATTTCTACCTTAATAATTTTATCTTTAAAAACTTTGTTATGATTTTGAACATCTAGCATTTTTTCAAAAAAAGGTTCGAGAAATTCATTAAAAGAATTAGATTTGTTTTGTCCATGGTAAAAACCGATAACAAAAGGTTTAAAAAAGAAATTGTCAAAAATATAAAGAGCAAAATACCTGAATTTTTCTTATCTTTTCCAGTTCCTCCATAAATTTTTTGTTATATCATTATTAGTAACCCTTTAATCTTACGTTGGCTCAATGATTTTATCTTCGTGATCTGCTCGATCACTTCCAACTTCCCGGTTAGACTTAGTAGTTTTGGATACTTTTCCTTGTACAGTCTTTGTATATTATTAGATCCAGTAGAATCATTTGATTCCACAAATACTACTTTCATCGTCCTGTCTTCTACGTTTATCAGGTTTCCTTCCACTACGTCCTTTTTTTAAATTTTTGATTACCTCGTGTTGCTCTAATTCCTCTACAAGGAATTCGAGCGTAATTTTTGTTACCTGCTTGTGTTATGGCTCGGTATAGGTTGCGATTTGGCATATCCTTTTGGGTGTTTCAGTCATCTGAAGGTCCGCGTCATACATTATTTTCTCGATTGATTTAAATCTTTTATCCTTTACCATTTTTTAACGCTGTCTCTTTGGAACTCATTAACGTTTCTTTTCATTCATGTTAGAAAATATTACTAATTTAAAAAAAAATCTAAGCTGGAAATCAGCTGTAGGTATTACTGAGGGGTAATTATGGAAGGGTGGCCAGTTCGATAGTGAGGGACACTTAGACCGTAAAGTGGTCGAAGAGATCCGTAAAAGGACACTTTGAATTCTGGGGATGTAGCCTTGTCTACTACGCGATAGGAAGACCATAGATAGATGGATTTCTTCTCGATAGGGGGCTGGGTGTTTTTGGTCCAAGCAGTGTAAGTCCAGGAGGAAAGGTCATCGTTACAGTTAGGTGTAGCGTGTAGTCCGTAGGTCTGGGTTGAGGAGACACTTGAGTTATGGAGAGCAAAAATGGGTATGACGACGCGAGACATATCGCGAAAAGCAAAACCAATAGGTTGGTTAAACTCATCATAGGGTGTGATTTCACATATTTCGGTTCTTCCACCGATTTGTCCTTCTATGTAGTGGATATAATCAAATGGGATTAATCCAATTCTATAGTTGCTGTTATTCTCGGTCAGAGAATTGTACATATTTGGCATCGGTAGGGTGAAACCTACGATATCATAAGATTCTATGTTGAATCCGATTGTACAGCAAAGTTTTATATACTCCGGGATGGGGTTGTATGGCTGGAACCATGCAACATTTGGAGTTACATTAACTTTGGGATTGAAACCATGGAGAGGGAAAACCTCTTCATCTGGGATGAACTCAGCTCCGGATGTGGTCTGGAGGGTAGCGGGGACGCAAGGAAAGTGGTTGTATGCGAGGAAGGAATTGTGAACAACTCTGGTGGATGGCATGAAGCCGATAGTGCGAGCGAACTCGGTGTCGGTTTGGTATTGAGCTTGATCAAGCTCTTTACCTAAGGGGAGATGGTGCCAGGTGGGGAGAGATGGAACAGTTAAAAAATGGGTTTGGACGAGTGAACTCGTACTATTTTTAACAATGTCCTTGAGTGGTAAACAATTTGGAGACTCTGTCTTGATGAAGTCAGAGATATTCTTTAGCATTTTCATAAGGGTCGTTTTATTCTCGAGGCAATAGCCAAGAGTATAATCGTATGGATTAACTGAATTGTAAGAGTCGAAAATAATTGGAGAAAAATGAGGTTTAGCGAGACTGGGTCGTGTTGCTAGGGACCTATTGATCACGGGGTTGAATATTCGCTCGAAAGTAGAGAGAAGCCAATTTTCATGAATTTCTGTGGGATTTTGGAACAGATAAGGGCCGCCAAGTAAGTTGGAGATAGTGTATGCACTACCATCGATTACTGTGAGGGTTTGCTGAAAGAGTTCTACTAAAACGGAGTTAGGCTGAGCATTTGTTGGAAATGAGGCCAGGACTTGGTGAGCATAAAGCATAAGTAGGGCAGGGATCGTACGGCCAAAATCCGTGAGGAATTTAAAGCCTGCGTATCCTGGTGAATACTGTAGCTGGACAAGCTGTTCGTCGTAAGTGGACGTTAAATTATCAATTAAGGGCCGAGTTCTAGATGAAATGTTTAGACGGAGGAGTGAGTCGTAAAACTCTTTCCTATTCATGTCTGTTGTATATATTCTAGAATGGAATGGTCTTTGATTGCGCTTGTTGAGGTCACAATAGAGGAGAGCTGCATGGATACAGAGTATGTCGTATCCTATTAGAGAGAAAGTACTTACATAGTTGTAAGATTTCACGTTAAGGTCGGGGTACTGGAGACTTACGCATTGGGTAAGGTATTGGAGAGTGTACCTGGTGTCTGGTTGGACATCAATAGTGAAGGGGATGCCAAGATTTAGTTCAATTCTTTCTGAAATTTTAAGAATGGATATTAAATCTATTTCGGGGACTGGTTCTTTTGAAGAGCTGTCTTCGGGGATGGGCTGGAGCTTCTTTGAGATGCTGGTTGCGATAGCGTTAGCAGTCATTGACACGGGGGGAGCAGTTATCACACTATTTGGTTTAGTGGATGGGGTGGGGGGAAGCTTAGGGACGAGAGCGAGGGGAGGGGTCGCTGGAGTAGATACATTATCAGCTTTAAGCTGAGAGGGTTCGGTAGAGATGATCGAAGTAGCATTTTGTGTTACGTTCGGTTCGTCGTTGGTGAACATGATTACTAGTTAGTCGGTTAAGCAGTTGGGTTATAAGTAGTTTATTTAGTTTTTAGCGAAGCGTTTTAGGTTTTCGTTAAAATAAATAATAAAATAAATTATGTTATATTTTTAATTTATTTATGTTTAAATCGATTTTAGTAATTTATGTTACTTTTAAATATTATTTTAGATTTTAAATATATTTCTTTTGTTTTTTCGAAACAAGCGTTTATACGCTTATCGAGTATGTTTTATTCACAGATACCGTTTTTTAAATTTGTATAATACTTTGTAATTGTAATTATTATTGTATTTTTTTGTGAATAAATTATTATTATTATTATTATTATTATTCTCCTTACCACCGCTTTGATTTTCTTATGGGTGTTTGGTACTAAATCTATGAGTCCCTCGATTATCCTTAGAAGCTCTGTATTTTTCTCTTTTGCCTAGTTGAGTGTGAATGCCTCTGGGTTTTTCTCTGCTTGTTTGGATCGATCACTGATATGTCCAAAGTCGTGTTTAAAATTTTCCTTTTTTGTATTCGGGAAGCATCTTCTGCCTTGTCCTATAAAATTTAACCTGCTGCGTTTAGCTATTTCTGCTATCTTAGCTGTGTCAGTTCTTCAAGAGTTTGGGTTTTATTCTACGGCAATGCTCCAATACCCCGCTAAGGCCTTGCTTTCGCCTACCTCAGTCGTTCTCGCCATAACATTGGGGAACCGTTCTTGAGTTTTTTCCCGGCGCTTTAGGTTGCCTGTCCTCAGGTGCCATTTTTGGTTCGCACCGGCTATTTCATTTCACCGGTACTTTGGGGTAAATGTATTAATAATAATATTCTAAATAATAACACGAAAAAATGTAATGCATTTCAGGGACTACATTGTTTCCATCATTTTCAAAAAGCCTCCAAAACGCCATTTATAAAACAAAAATCCAAACAGTAATGTGAATACAACACTGGATAAACAAACACTGTCCACCTGTGCTCACTCGACACAGCGATGACAGTCAAGCGTGGCAGATGAACCAATTAGCACATAGGTTGAGGAAATTCACAGACTTACAATTAAGCATAAAATATTTATGCGGTACTATGGGGTAAACGTACAGTCTTTTAGCTGTAATGGACTTGAACGCATTATTTTTTTTTGCACTTTAAGAACTGTGTTTTGTAAGTCTGAACCTCAGCAGTCTCTTTGTGAATTATGTAATATATAGATATATTATTACTGATATTTAATTGTCGGATAGCAAAATTTATCTGTGTCAGCGACTATACTTACTGATCTTTGGAAACATATATTTGAATGAGATTTCATTATTCTGATTTAATTTTTTCCACAAAAATGTTTGTAATTCCAATAACTACGTATGGATTTGATTATAGTAGGTAATAAATTAATTTTTTATTGAATATCTTTAATCTGGATACTGAGAATCACAAAACACTCACTTCTAAAATAATAAGCTTTAATCTGAGTACCGTAACCCACTGTATTGCTGCTTTTGCCCAAGCCAAAGGTAATCTTTGCCAAAATGTTGAACATATAATAAAATCAGCTGTTTTTTTATAACAATTTCACTTATCTGGCAGTAACTTGGACTAAATTAGAGTTTAAACACGATATGAATAACAAAATATATTTATTAACGAAAACAATAACTCGAAGTGAACCCTTTCGAGGCAAATTACAGACTAATCTTTTATAATAACGAAACAAAGTCATGCTATCAACAATAACGTAACCCTCTATGAATCAACTATGCGTCATTATCGGCTAAACGTTAAAGAATGTGTCTTATCATATCACCCAAATTCAAGTAATACAGGGATGTTCGTAACATACCCTGATGACTTAATCCCGAAGCATTGTGGAAGGAAATATGTATAGAAAGTTAACAAAATAGAACTAATTGAAGCAATCTATATGAGAGAATGTTAAAATTAATTATATGAAGCGTGGTTAGTAAAGATTAACATGCTGATTAATAAGAAATGAGAATATTTTTTCTGCTCACGGATTTTGCTTGGCGGAGACCTTGCAGAGGTGGCCCTGTCGTTAGTTATTACAGTGGATGTTTTCCAGAGATCAACTAACGGGGACTTTGATAATGCAGTGTTAACAGTTCAAAGCCTCTTACCTAGTTGCTAGGTAGAGAAACCTGGATAACTGGAACGGTTGCTGCATACAGCTCACGGTAATACCCTGGTAAGCGTAAGTATAACTTTAGTACTGTAACTCTCACTTTGTGCCAAAATCGTAGGTCTGATGAATAAATTTGGGATATCAGATGGCCTCAGGGATATAGATGTAGGATTAAAGCTGCAAGTTTCTAAGTCCTAATCCAACATACTATGTTGATGTCACAAAATTGTCGGTATTACTGTTAACGGTGCAAAACCACTCAGCAGCAGATCTCTGATGAGTAGCGATCAAGTGATTTCTTGACGTTCAATGTACCGCGAATAGAATCTCTTTACCTTAATGATAAAGGAACTGTATGCTCGCCCATATGTAAGTTACCAGTACGGTTTCTAGGACTCTCCCTTAGTGAGTGTTTTGGTCTTAAAGTTTGACGAGTCATTTTCCTCATGATTAAATACATTAGAAGAAAATGTATGAATATTGTGACTATGGCAACCAACCATGGATGATGTACTGCCGGAACAATAACCCATCCACTCACTTGTTCTTAATATTTCTTTGATAAGTAGCAAGGCGTAACATTCATTTTTTAAGAGAATATGAATTAAAATCTTCAGTTAATTTTAATAAGCACCTATCTGTGGTACTTTTACAATCAATGTCATGCCTTTCGGAAATCAAAAATATTAATGAATCTACCTTGGTACATAGAAGAACTAAATATGTAAAAAGTTATTATTTTTGTCCATCGTGGGAAAATTATGACTTCAATTATATTGTAACATTTAAAGCTACACATAATTGTAAATCGATGGCTTAATTCTAACACCTTGTAACCCACAAAGAGTAAATTTTACAGTAGAGGCAAAAAACTTAATAAAACCTATTCCGATAATGAGTTTGGAACTTTTTTGCTCACAAATATAACCAATATATATGAGAATATATGACAATAAGTCAGAATGATATTTTTACTTTTTGTAAGATGTTTAGTGGGATACGACATATTTATATTTCTAAAAGAGTGGCTTACGACAAATTTTTTGAAAACACATGGGTTACGAGGTATTGTATGATTATGAGATCAAAAAAATAGCGGTTTGCAATAATTTGGAACCATAAATTCTTATGACACGTTATTTATTATAAACAATAAAAAATATGTTTATAATTACCAGAGGAAGTTAATTTTAATTAAATGAAAAAAATCTTAAGTAAGTTGTAATACCATATAAATAGGTATGAAATAAAAATGTAATACTGGGAATTTTAGAAACATTCTTTAATCAAAATGAAACAAATTAAGTTAAAAAAAAACACAAACATATTTAAACAAGTTCTAAACAAAACAGGTTAAAGAAATAGCAAAGTAATTGAGATTCTAGAAAGTCTATAAAAGGGAAATCGAAACATTTATTTTTTTTTTGCTTTTTAGTATTTTTTCTCTTTTGGTATTTTGTTTTTTTACATTTTGCTTCGCTTTAGATTTCTTAGGAGCTGAGCTTTCCTGATTTTGAATAATATCTTGCTTTATGGTATTTGCAGAATCTTTATAAGGAATGTTGTCATAGAAGAAGTGAGTATCAAAGGGCAACACCTTTTTGAGTTCCTGGAGGTCATTCCACTTTTTCTTAGAAATTGGTAATCTTTTTGAATATAGGGGATCCCGAGAAAAATTGTTTTCAATCTGGTTTTTTCTTTGCGGGAGTAGGTTATACTCGTCACTGTGTGCTACTTTAAATAATATATCCCCATTTATAAGATACTTTAAAGCTCTTATATCGGTTACTTTTAAATCTCCTTTTGATTTTCCTGGACGGATTGATGAGTATCGATATTTACTATCATCCTCGTAATTAATAAAAAAATCATGAGCTATGTATGACACTTCCAAGGGAGTAGGGTTTTTCCGGGCTTCTTTAATCACAGAAATGTAATCTGTTGGTAAGTAAATTTGCCTGTTTTTTAGCTTTCGTTCAATGAGACTATGTGTAGAGTCACACTCCATTTGAGTGTGTCCCTTTTCTAAATATTTTTGTTCAATTTCTATATTATATTTGGTACCTAGCTAAAAAGGACAGAGCATTTGCTAGAACAACATTTCTGTTTTGGTAGCCACAACCATCAGAAAATATAACAATAGGTTTCATCTCAATCTTTAAGTGTTCCTCTAAAGCTTTTATTAAACAAGAGGCAAATACAGAAGCATCAAGGTCGCCTTCTGTTTCGTTCCAAACATAATTCATACTGCGATGACTCTTTAAATTATAGACTGTAAAATTGTGAATTTGAAGTTTGGTCTTGTAGTAGAGGGAACTTGCCTGTAAAACTGGACATAATTTAACAGCCTGGACATCGACTGCGAAACAATACATTTCTTGTGCAAGTGCTCTTTTTTTATCGAGGTCCTTTTCGTCGCGGGCTTCATTTTTTGCTTTAATATGCTTAGTGTACACCTCTTCTGGAATCTGTTTTACCTTGTAAGATGAGCATAGATCGCATTGATCCTTTCTGGGTTTAAATAAAGCTAAATTCATGTTGTCCAATTCATTATAAAATTTACAATTTGACAAAGGAACCTCCTCTTCCATTTTACAGTGGTCTTTGTAAAGATTATACACTTCACTTTTGCATTTGAAATTCTGCTCAAAGTAAAATTTTCCAGTAGATTTGCGACAGTAATGACTTTCTAATTTTGGAAGACTTTCAAGAAAGTTTTTCATATTATTTACTCGCTGTTTGTCCTGTGAAGCTTTTCTTTTTAGTGTAGAGGTTTGTCGTCTTATGTCACTGCCTTGTAGAATGCCGTGATTGTTTGCGGAGTTAACCCAATTAAGTATCATTTTTTCACCAACTGCTAAGGTATTCAGGAACATAGACTTGCAGACTTGCATCTTCTGCCCTTGAACCATAAGAAAGTACTTATAAGTTCCACTACGTTTAGATGAACCTTCGACGTAACTTCTTTTTTTTGCACTATACGTAATCATGTGCGCAAAGAACATTCTTTTCTGTTCCCATGACATCTCCCAAAATGTCTTAAAAATTTCGTTTCTTTCAGGCTCCGATATATTTGCACAAAAACGAGTTGATGCTAAGGCACAAAATTTGGAGACGCATGTAGGCTTAATTTTACGTTCAGGGCGAACTATGTCATGTTTGATCTTGCCTTCTGATCTTCTGTACCCTGTATATCCCCTTCCGCTCATTCTTAAATGTTTATTTACATTTTTATCCCAGGTATCTGGTTGAGCAATTCTTTTTCTCTTTGTTTTTGGTTTAATTTCTTCTTGCTCTTCCATCACCTCATTTTCAGAGTCGTTATGGCGGACTTCATCTGGAGTGGTTTCTCTTAATAGGACTGCATTCTCTCCTTGTTTAACTTCCTGTTCTCTTAATGTTATGCTAGTATTGGATTCAACATTTAATTCACATCTTATAACATTCTCCTCAGAAATCATGGATATTGAATGTTCAAGATCAGTTTTTTCTTTATTGTCACAACTCATATTATTTAAAGATTCATCATAAATGATTGCAACGTTATTTAGGGATACAAAATCGCTCACTATTGTAGTAGGAACGTCTTCTGTAACTTCAAAACTGAACACTTCATTTTTATTCACAGTTTCCATACCGATTAGCTCCAAATTTTGGGTAACTGAATTTTTCTCATTTTTATTTTCAAAATCAAAAGAATCTCTCACAGCTGTCGATCTAGCATTTTCTAATATTTTGGCAGTTCTTGAATTCATCACTGAAACGAAAGTAAAAAGTTGTCCCAAAGATAATACTTAATCCAAAACGAATAATTTTTTATTTGGTGTAGGTATCCAACCCATACAGCACACATTATTTCAGAAGTGTTTCAGAAATATTTCAAACGTTTCAAACATAAACTTAACTTAACTTAAAATTAATCCGATTTAAAAAAATAATATGTCAAAAGATCGGAAAAAAAGACCTTTAAGAAGAGCTATCACATGATACGCCTTTCTATTTAAAATTTTAGAACTGATATTCACCACCGCTTAGGGGATGAAACTGCACGGTTACAGATACTTGTAAAATGTGTCCCCCCGTAAATATGAATAAATGTGTTTTTTTGTTTTAAAGATATTTTAAAAGTTATTTTGGGTGGCTAGTTTTGAAATGAAATCCCTGTATAATTCATTTTTTATCTTACTGATATTACGAAAAATTAATGATGCCTAAAATATTTATTAAAATCCAAAACGAAAGTCTTTGTGTAGTGATATAAAGAGTAGAAATATTTTGTTGGAAACAGATTTATCAAAAATTTTTAATTTCTAATAATACAATAATTACTCAGGCCATCAAAAATGAAATAATTTGAATAACAACAGAACTTTGGGTGACACACTACTTTGGCTTCGAAAAATAGGACGTAACCCTCATAAAAACCAAAGCATGTATTTAGTTCTAATAGATCGTATCCAACAACAACATTTTAAGGGCATATTTTAGTAAAAATTAAGTAATGTTGCTTATATAGTAAATAAATAAAAATAAAGTTGGTACCCTACAAAGTGCTAATACTTCAAAAATATACTTACTTTTTTGTTTTTCGATCACTTGTCAGCTAAATTACACTTGTACGTGCATACACAACACATTCTTTAACGCTACTGTGGGTTATTTCTCGTCGTCTCCTGATACGTGTATCGTGCGGGTTAGGACTTGTTAGAAATCGCGGGAATCAAGTAGAAATAATTTTATTTGGGACAGGAGGTTTTAGTGAACGATAGTATCCATCTTTTTCTATTGAGTTAACGTAAAAACGTGAATTCGTAAAAATTGTGGGTTACAACTTGTTAGAATTAAGCCATCGAAATATTCTATGAAAATATTTTTTAATTCGCCCCATGATACTCCATTTTGACAAATAAAATATGATATAGGAATTTTCCATGCAGAATAAATACCTCGGATCATAATCACAAGTGCATGTCCGTCTGGAGCTGCCTTTCTTTCTAAATTATCCAAATCAACAACTTTAATCAAGTCAACTTTTTCATTACAAATAAAAGTTCTTTTAAAACTCATTACATCGAATATTATGATACATGTTCGTTTAGAAACTGACATTGTGTCTGTAGGGAAAAATTTATAAAAAAAAAAAATTATTAATAAAACTAGTGGTACAAAAAATGTCCTAGCTATTTTTTAATTGTAGAAACAGAAGACAAAATAACTCCCTTTCTTCATAAAAAACTGGAACAGGTTGGACTTTTATAATATAATAATATGGATACTGCAGTTTTTTCTTCCGGGATTTAAGGGTATTTCTCTTTGTCTCATTTACATTTTTAATGGAAAATATATTCGAAATTGATTTGTTGAATTGTATTTCTTTATTTTCTTCTTTGTCATTCTCAGTTGAGTATGTAAATTATTTATTTTCTTCCTTAGTTTTTGTAATTCAAATTTTAATTTAAAACTTTCTTTAATGGAAATATGTTTCCAAGATGTGTTTGATTGATTCTATATCTCTTCTAACCAGTCATTACTTCGGATTTTTTTGATACGAAGAGTCTTGAACTAGCAAGGTAACATTTCATAGGTTCTGCCAATTCAATTTTTTTTCCATTTTGTGAGCTAGAGGGACTGGAGTTGTACTGCTTTGGAACATCAGTTTTTGGCAAACTCCTCATGGAAACTTCTTTTTTTGTGAAAATTTAATTTTCAGAAATATAGGGCTTAAATCTCGCAATTGAAGTTAAATAATTATGTTATTTTTTATATGTATCCAACCTTGTGTTATTTTTACCTAAATCCAAAAAGTAACTGATCTTTTATTTATAGTTTAGTCCACTCTTCATCTTCCCTTTGCCAAGTGATAGAATCAGTTTGTTTATTTTCTGTTACATCTAAATGCTTTATGATTAGATCTATTAACAGTCTTACTTCAGTTACTAAAAAATTTTCTTTTCCACCCTGAAATATTTATTTTAGAAACACATATTAATAATTACAAGATCAAACGAACTGAACTAAGTGAAATAATAATGTAGTATCTGCCTCTCAGTACAAACTCACACGATTCTTCGTCAAACAAAATCATTCGTCGCTTGCTAGTCGCTTATCAGCCGAAATATAATTATTTGCCCCAATACGGCGGATATTTCTAAGTGAACCCATGCCATCTTGTCTCCAATTACCTGAGTGAATGTTGCCCAAATTATCAATGTGGTCAGCAAACCCCATAGGAAAATATTTCCTTTCAGAAATAAGTAAATCCTTTTCACTACACTGAGCAAAATTATGTAGTGATACAATGGCTTGCACAATTAGTTCAGAGGTCTCTACACTGGCAATAATCGGCTGTCTTAATATTCGCCATCTTTGAGATATAATACCAAAAGTATTTTCAATTGTTCGCCTACCCCTTGATAAGCGATAATTGAAAATTATTTTTGACGAATCCAAATGATTGCCAGGATAAGGTCTCATTATATTTTCGTGTAGTGGAAAGGCAGCGTCGCCTACAACAAAATGTGGAAGCTCAATATTTGTATCTGGCAATTCCTTTGCAGGTGGTAATTTTACCTGCATATTTAAAAGTGCCGAACCAAATTCACTACCCCTAAACACTTCCGAATCGTGCTTTGACCCTTCAGCACCAATGTCAACAAACACAAATCTATAATAGGCAGCACAGACTGCCATTAGAACAATGCTGAAAGATTTTTTGTAATTAAAAAATGTGCTTCCAGAATGTGCCGGTGCTTGGATTGTTATATGCTTTCCATCCACAGCTCCAACACAATTTGGTATATTCCATCTTTTTCGGAATTCTATTTCTTTAAATGTATTTTCGGACGGATGAGGAAGGAATATCGGCATCAAAATTTTCCATATATTTGTCAGCGTTTCTTTGATAATAACATGTACGGTAGTTTTGCCAACACGAAAGTTCCAGGCAATTTCCTGCATGCTACAGCCCTCTGCAAGGTAACTAAAACATGGTTTATTATGCATCACCAAAGTCAGAGAAAGTATTTGTATTACTTACTGTAATGTCATTATCAACCGATGCTCTGGCGATAATGGATTTTTTGTAGCCTATTAGTGATAGAAGTGAAGTAAACATTTCTGGAGATAATCTTACGTATTTTCATATCACGCACTATAGTTGCAAACGCACCTTCTGTGTTCCTATTCCTATTCATTGGCCTAACTTTAAATCTTCTAACTCTTTTTCTACGCTGTTCTATTAATAATCTTGCCATTTGAGCAATCCACAAGTAGCTAGCTACCACACGTTTTTTTTTTCCATTTTCAATTTGACAATTTGCAACTGTTAAATGTCAAATCGTCAAATGCCAAATCGTCAAATGTCAAAGCCTCATATCTTATGCTTATAAATTTTCTGTATAAACGGTCTTGTTTTAAAATCCTTAAATTAATGTTTGTGTTAATGTTTATGTTAATGCTTAAAACTAAATCAGGCTGACTAAACGCACCTTTATATACTCATATCAATATATTTATAACTGTTTTGTTTACGGCACAATTATTATTTATAGACTTTCATGTAAATGATTGTGAAAATGCGGTTAACTTAATAAATGAAGACCTAAGTCAAATTAATTATTATTCATTTAAATCATAACTTCAATATTAATGTCCCAGCAAGTCTAAATTGTAAATATTTTGCAACACTAATTATAAGAATTTCGTTAAATCTGAAGTAATTTTAAGTACATCAGGTAAAATAATTCCACAAGAATGAGAAGCAAAAAAACTTGGGACTTTATTTTGACGAATCTATGAGATTTGATAAATATGTCTTACAACAATGCTATGGTGCGCTTCGATTGCTTTATTCTTTGTGACAAATGCATTAAATCTAATTTATGTCAAAGTAAATGGTTAAATGTTGGGAGCCTTTTTAAGTATCTCTTTCTTTCACTGCTATTTTAGATAATCAACACTTCACAGTCCCCATATCTTAGGAACAAATTAATTTATTGAACATGCATAACGCAAACATAAATACCTATTCTAACGTTAGATATGCCTCTCCACTTGACAGCTATTTTCACACGCAGGTTTTCATATTAATGTGGCTACTAAGTAGAACAACCTTAGTTTTACTATTAAAGAACTCATTTCTTTCATTAAAAAAAAATTAAAATACAGCTGCTGATTACTCAATCATAAAATGTTATATATATATTTTTATGTAATTTTATTTAAACTTTATTTTTTGCTTTGTTAACTATTCTGATATTAAGTATCGTTTTTGTAAATTCCATATATATTTTTATTAAAATATATCCTGTATTGGCGGTTAGATGTAAGAATAGCCTCGGCTAATCTCTGTACAATATTATTATAATTATTATTAATAAATTTGTAAAATCAATGAGTGAGTGACTTTTAAGTATTTTATATTCTAATGAAGCTTTTTTTGTAATTATTGAAAATTAAATATATGAAGACTTTGGTAATACGAAGAAATAAAAAAATATAAACATCTATTTTTATTATTTATTTCCACATAAAAAAGGAACATAATTATTTACATAAAATGTTTTTAATAACTGAAGATTGTTCGCCATTCTTCTTCTACAGGAACATCATACATTAATGATTCTGCTGGGGTCCAGATGACTAGATAGCACACCCTCCTTTTGGTTAAATACACATTTCCTTGAATGTGTTTATAATAATCATGAGCTTTATTTAGCACGATTTCATTTTTTTTTTCATTAAAAAATAATATGTA